GGCCGGGCGCTGCGACTCCGAGGGCCGCGGCGTCTGCGGTGATGCTCCCGGCGCGCAGGACGCGGGAGGAAGCCGCTTGCCTTCTCTTGCGCGCCGCCTTAGCAGCGCGAAGGGGAAAGCAGAAGAAACGGGCTTTTCTTTTGGAAGGGGATGAAATGAGTCGGGGTCCAGGGAGTCCAGAGGACATCACGTCCGGAATCGCCCAGCTGGCCGAGTCCGGCATCGTGTCCCTGGGGGCTGAGGCGCGCGGGCCGTCTCTGGACGTGTAGGTGGCACCTAGGGCTGAGCGTCCTGAGTGGCCATCGGGTAGGAGCCATCTTGCAGGAAGAGGGTCCAGCCAGATGGCCAGGTTCTGCGGGACTCAGTGCTCGGGGTGCACCCGATGGTTGGGAAGCAGAGGAGCTCATATTTGCTGCTGGGGCCCGTTATCCTTATGCTGCTAAAAGAGAGAAGTACAACTCAACTGAACACAGTTAGATAACGTACCTTCTTGTAAAATATTTTCTAATGGCCATTGCGTTCCCTATTTCAGTTTGGTTGGGCGAACAGGCACAGAATGATATCTCTGAGCAGAAAGTCTGGTCTCTTTCGCTCATACTTGCCTACGGCGGTGGCTTTTCTTGCCACTCTCACCCCTACCCCTACCCCTACCCTGTCCCGCCGGCTGAGAACTGCCTAGAGGAAGGATGCTTCTTACCCGTCTTCTCCCACCGAACACTGCAAATAGAAACCTCTCCCCCAATAATAAGGACCTTGTGTTGCTCATGAGATAGGAATTAATCCCAGAAAGGGGGAGTGGGCGGTAGTTGTTAGGTTACCTTTGAGTAGAAGGAGAGAGAGGACTGGGAGCGAGCAGAGTGTATGTGTTCACATTTTCTTACCAAAAACCCTTTGGAAACTTTCCCAGACCAAGATTGAGAACCATCTACAGTAGTCCTCAACTTGGAAAGAATATGTGTTTGGACTTTTCTTTTTTTCTTTTTAATTACAAGCTTCAGTTTTCCTTATGAATGACAACATTGTTAAATAGTAACTTCTTCATAAGTACATTTCCCGTCTTTCAAGCAAGAGATACCTCCTACAGCGCTAACTTTTTATGTTAGGAAGGGAAAGGGTTAAAAATCAGAGAAGAAAGTCATTTCGTAAAATGTGACATCCTTTCAACACACTGTTGGGTTACACTTGTGCTTCTTTTTGTGTAAATTAGCTGTTTCATAGTGAGGTGTTGTCATTCTTTATTTTCTTTATAATACACCATGAACTAGGAACTAAAACTTTAAAGACATAGGGAAAAAAATTCTGGTAGACTCCAGTGTCCCTGGGAAAAGTAAAGGAAATAAAGATGGACCTATGACTTGCCTCCTTCAAGTTATTTTCTTGGATTCTGGGGAAAACTTCTAGCCTTTACCTTCCTTCACCTGCCCTTTAAATCATTACTGATAAGACTCCTTTCTCACGTGGACCTCTCACACTTCTGTTCTCAATGAGCGTGTAGCCGAGACATCTACGGTTCTTTGGGGGTGAGTGATCATGAATTTAGCAACCTCTTTGGGTAGGTAAAGTTCCACATCCAGCATTAGGCATTGAGCTGGGAAACTTTTGCCCTGCGGCGCCCCCTGTGTCAAAGAGCCTTGGACCTGAGGCTGATTTGCACCTGCCTTCATCGGCAACAATGCCAGAATCAGTGGGTCAGCCAGGAAGAACAGGTTCTTAGTCTCTGCTCCGTTCCTTTAGAATCTTCCACCAATGGATGCTTTTGTCTCCCAACTGTCATAGATATGCCTCAGATGGCATTTTCTGGCCTTTTAAAAACAGACCCAAAAAATCATGTGCATTAGAAAGGCAGTTCACACACAGTAACATTATCGGAGCAGATCTCTGGCAGGTAATCTGTGGTTTCAGTTTGACAGCACTGGGCATTGATCCTGTAAGGCCTCTTAAAGATCAAATCATTTTATCAAGGCCCAAAGTCAAGTTTTCTGTTAAGCTAGAAATGCAGTCAAATTTATATAAACTCTTTCATTTACAAAAGACCTGTTTTTTTCTTTTTTTTTAATGGAGGTATAGTCAGTTTATAATGTTGTGTCAGTTTCTGCTGTGTAGCATAATGTTTCCGTCATATATATACATACATATATTCCTTTTTATATTTTTTGGCATTATAGTTTACTACAAGATATTGAATAAACTTGTTTATCTATTTTATAGATAGTAGTTTAAGCTTCGTAAAAATGTTGCTTGTCTATACCTGGAGATTTATAGATCTGTTATTGACTGATCAATGAGTAATAAAGACTGGCCTTTGTGGTACTATGATTCACTTCAAACACTTTACATCATGATCTGTTTTACAAAAGACTAAAATAATGGTCAAATGAATGATTTCTTTAAGAATTCTTGGAAAATCTACAAACTACTATATACAGAATAAATAAAGTCCTACTGTATAGCACAGGGAACTATGTTCAATAGATTGTAATAACCTATAATGAAGAAGAATATATACATATGTTAACTGAATCACTTTGCTGTACCCCAGAAAGTAACACAACATCGTAAATCAACTATGCTTCAATTTTTTTTAATTAAAAAAAAAGAATTTATGGAAAAATATACCTTTTGACCTAGAATGGAAAATACCAAAGTACAAGATGTTTATTACAGTGTTGCTTTGAATAATAAAGAAGTTGAAAACAGTGTTTAGTAATAGTAGTAGCTAATACTTATTGAATGTTTAATATATTTCAGGCATGTTGTAAGTGCTTTACATGGGTTATAATACTATTTTAAGTATTGTAGGAAGTTGAACAGAGAAAATTTTGGTACACGTGTAGAATGAAATACCATAGAGCTATTACAACTTTGGATGTAGGTTTCTTCAGAGACATTGAGCATATAATTTTCCACTGGAATTTTTAAAGTTTCTGGAACTGTGATTGCATTTTTGTAAAATTGCATATATGTGTCTATTTTTTAATAGAGATGTCTAGAAGGATGTTTACCAAAATGTTAAAATTTTAAGATCTTGAATGGTTATTATTTCTCTTTGTATTTTTCTGTATGGTTTGGATTTTTAAAGTGAATGTATATCAATTTAATAAAAGCAAAATATTTTAAGAAAAAATAATGACATATTCCAATTTCTCAGGCCCCATTTTTGAAAACGATGTCCACCAATTTTATGACCCAATGAAATGAAAATATAAATAAACAATTAGCATCTTTAAAATAAGGATGAGATATTGACTGTTATTCAAATGTCTTTTGGATTTAGTAAACCCATGCTATTACTTCACTATCTCTTAAAAGTTGTTTATTTCTATTTTTTAGTCCCTCCAGTATTTCTAAAACAACGTTGTTTCTTTTTGTTTTTAATAAGCAAATCCAAATATCTTGCTTTCACTAAAGCACGTGGGGCAGTTTAAATGAGTTTAAAGTAGCGCAGTTCTTAAATGGTTCTATTTCATCCCGGTTGAGCATCTTCACGTGGGCAAAACTTTCGTTTATTTCAACCACTTATTTCAGGGTTTTCCAAAAACCTTAGGAAATCACCTGAGGCACTTTTTTATTAAAATAAGAATTCTGGTTCCCGCACTAGAGCTACTGAATCAGGCTGGTGGGGTGGGGGGGATGCTTCTGGTCCACACGTCTTTTTGAATTCCTCTCTCTGCCCCTGCACTCTGGTTTTTAATCTCTGCAAAATGCTTGGTTCCAAGAAGTTACCTGTTTCCAGGCTCAGTGTTTATCAGTCACCCCCAGATTTGTTTTTGTTGTTGTTGTTGTTTAATTTTAAAGCATGCCTTTACACTGGAACTGGTAGATTCTTTAAAATGCAACTTTGATCTCCCCTTGACCATCGTCTGACCGCAAAAGGATTAGACAGCTGTGGATTGTTCCATTATGCCTGCAGGGAACATGAGAACTTCAAGGAATTATATGTCACACAGAAGAAACCACATTTAATGTGACTGAAAGATGGAGGTTAGAAGGTCAGAAAGTTGACTTTCCAGTTTATGTTCCCAGGGCACTAACTAATCACAATGGCTATGGAATCTCATGATAAAACTGAGCGTGATCTTTTGTTCCTCATCTGTCTTCTTGTTTTGCCTTTAGGAAGCCTCATTTCTCACTTTCCTTGGAACAGATGAACAGATTATTTGCAGGTAAGCCACTGAATCTTGCTTTCTAAGAGAAGTTCACTAGAATAAAGTATTTATCATTTTTAGTGCATTTTCTGTGGATTATGCAAGGTTAACAGTTAGTCTGTAATATAATTTTTGCTTAGAAGTGAAACGTTTGTTTTTAAAGCTGTTCAGCCTTTTGAATATCATCCTCTTCATTACCAATTATTAATATTATGTTTCTAAAAATCAAAAGATTTGATAATTAAGCTATCATTAGGAGACAGGTGGACAGATGAAAGTTCAAAGAATGTTAACATTTTTGTGTCAAGTAAGTGAGTGAGTGAGTGTGCAAAAAAGTATGAGAGAAACATAGATCACAGATGAAAGAAAAAGTTTAATCTTTTTTTAAAAAAGAGAGCAGTATATTACTGTATGTCCCAAACTAATTACCACTAATGCTTTGTGTGAAAATGGATACAAAAAAAGCAACAGTTCTATGCTTTGAACTAATTTCATCTTGGATATTATGGAATATGGAACACACGATCTTCACCAAAGTAGGCCATTTTCAGTGCCTTGAATATTTTTTCAAATGCTTTGGCATTATCATTAAAGCTACTTTATTAATATTTAGAAGTTTAAAACTTTTTTCCTAATGCGCATTTCTGGCTTCTGCATCTGCTTCTGAGGTGCATATACTTTTATGTCTGTGCTTCACAAAGTCTTCTTTGTAACTTGAAAACACAAATATCAGAAAACAGGCAACCCCCAGTTTGAACATCTTCCCAATCTTCACTGTAAATTATGCTCTTTTTCCCTTGATTGAACAAAATATACTTAAATGGGTGTTGTATTCCATCTACATTATAAGGATATTCTTTTGGCTGGATCTTTCATCTTCTTTGGAAAAAGCTTGTGGCTGACCTTTGCAAAAAAAACTGTCTTGCCCCAAGAAATGACTAGTATTCATAGTCAGTGTTTTTAAAATCACTGCAAATTTTTCAATTTTTATTTTATTTTGAGTTTTCATTTACTTTTCAGATTTTTTTTTTTAGTAAAAGCAAAAAATTTAAACCAGTGTTTAAATTAGTTTTCTAATGAATCTGAATACATTTCAAAGAAAAAAAAAAAGATGACTGAAACAAACAAAATAATCTGCCGGCACAAGTTTCTTTAAAAAACCATACAGAGGCGCCCTTACAAAATGATGTCTTGTTTCTGGTGAAATGGATCCTCCCTTTATCTGACGTCAAGTGACTAAACCATTGTTTTCTCCATAAAGACTCTTGGCTAGGATTTTGACTTGTCTTTATATTTACTCAGTAAAAGGTGTCTGTGACTATTCGCTTTTAGAGAAGGAAGAAAAGCAGAGGGGAGAGTCTACGTCTTCAAGAAGCTAAGGGACAGAGTCTTGACATGGCCTGGAAAGCATTCAGAATTAACCCCAGCAGGTCAAATGTTCACCCAGGGCACAACTGGGAAGAAACAAAAGAAAAGTCAATGTGCCGTCAAAGAGCCGCTTCATTTTTCTAGCAAGTGACCCGCCCGGAAAGGTCCAAGGAAGCTCTCCCTTGGCAACAGCCCTGAATTTCCAGAAACGATTCTGAACCCTGATGGTCAGCTCCGCTTCTGTCCGGTCATCAGACTTACTGGCGAGTCTTCATTCCAGGGAAATGCACATGGCGGTGGTGGCAGCGGGCGTGGTGCTGCTCCTCAGCATGGGGTCAACCTCAGAAGCTCTCTGCTCCCCCAACATTTTTTACAGAGGCTGCTGGATCCGTCGCTTCCCAGGTCTGCTAATTGACCTGGAGGAGTCTCAGAAGCTGGGCGCCCAGTTCTTGAAGTATTATTCCGAGAGCACTGGTCAGAAATGCAGCCGGAGCTGCTGTCTGAGGAAGGATGGTAAGTGTTCATGACCCGCCTGAGCAAAAATTGGGGGAAACTTCCAACTTGAAGACCTAAGAAAGGAGCCCTATAGGGGCAGAGGGTCCAGTCAACGGTGGAGAGGGTCTGGGGAAGATGCTCTGGGATGAGGTGGGGCTGGGCAGTGGGGGAGTGCATAGAGGGAGAGACATTGAGACTGGTTTTGCAGTTGGGGCCAGTGCAGGCTTGGTTTACAAATCTAATCATGACCTAGGAGTCTATGCGCCTACAGGTAACAGAGAATCTCTTCTCTTCACTAAAGTGCTAAGTGAAAATATTTCCTTGAGGGCCAACTACCAATATTTCTATGGCTCAGAATACAGCATATATAGTTTCCAAAATATTTATAATAATTTCCTTTTCAAAGCTCTTTTGGTGATATTGGTATCATATCACACTTTTAAAATATGCTTTCTTGGGTTGACCAAATGTGGGGTGCACTGAACGGGAATTTAGATTGTGGTTCATGATTTGAAAGAAATAAGGAGATATACGTCGTCAAATAGAAAAATGAAGGAAGGAAGGGAGAGAGGGAGGGAAAGAAAGAGAGAAAGGAAGAAAGAAATTAAATTTCAAAGTATCCTAGCAAGCAGGGTGTAGCTCAAGTGGTAGAGCACATGCTTAGCATGTATGAGGTCCTGGGTTCAACCCCCTGGACCTCCTCTAAAAATAAATAAATAAACCCAATTACCTCCCCCCACCAAATAAACAAACAAACAAACATAAGATTTCAGAGTATCCTAACAGATTTTTTTGGTCTGAAATCCAGAATCAAGGTGAAATATCATTCATATAATATGATAATAAGGCCTGTAATTGGGAAAACCTTTCATCGCTGAGGAATTTCAAGTTATGTTTGTCTAAAGACTTTATTTTTATTTTTCCAAGATTTTGAGAGATGCTTAGAAAGAAACAAGAAAAGCGACAACACTTTACAATAATTCTCTTCTTGCTCCACACTTTGGTGGTCTGATACGTTAACTGCCGAGGCCTCCTTTCCAATTACCCACGTAAGATTTCTGTGATGCAGACTGGAGCGCCTCAGAGTGTTGAAACCGACTGTCAGGAGACCACAGTGTGAGAAGCTATCACAGACTAAGTAAGCCCTCAGAAGCTAATCAGGCACAGGTGACAGCAGCTAATTTATTAAAGGGAAATTATTTGAAAAGGTAGCAAATCTGGGTATTCAGCTTATTGATGCTTCTCACCCGGTAAGCCTTCACTGAAAGGGGGTGAAGGAGGAGTGGTACCTTTTCAGCCTTTTCCTGGGATGTGGATTTACCTGACTCTCCACACCAGAGATGCTGTGGCCTCTGGACTTCCAGGGGTACTAGAAGCATCTAATAGAATTCCAAGACTTCATAGCCCCCGTGGCTTCCACATTGTGGCTTTCTTTCTCCAGATGAAGAAAAGGGATGAACGTAGATCCCAGTTTTTAGCCTGGAAGCCAGAACTTTAAAATGATACAATCCTGTAATAGCTAACCTGCTCAGAGCTGGGACTCTGAAATGGACATGCAAAATGTCAAACATCTTTAAAAATTGCTCCCTACAGCATCAAGTATTTTCTTATCAGAAATTTAGATGTCAACATTTGAGTATTTTTTATCCTTTTTCCTTAAGTTTTACAGCACAGTCCTTGGAGAATGTATTTGTAATCTGTAATACATTAGCAATGTATCGTTAATTGATTTTTGTTCTATTCTTTCTCCTTCTGGAAAAATAAAGAGTGCAGAAACATGGGGTGTCCCAGAAGTCATGGGGGAGGCGTCACTCTCGCAGTTAACCTTACACAGAAGCCAGGCAGGTTCTGGCCACAATTCCACAGCAGTTGTAGGCGTACTCTGAGGTCTGGTAATCATACACTATCCCTCTGTAATCTCATTTTATTAAAGAAGCTGATACCTTTGGGCCAATGAATATTCCCTACCACATGGTTCCCACTGCACTGCAGCAGGAAGAAAATCTGTGTTGCACTTCAGGGAGGACAGACTGAAGATTTGCACTCAACCAATGGTTTTTCCAGAAATAACACCATGTGTTTTAAGAAGCCAGTTTACTTAGGACAGGGGAGGCAGCATGAGCAAGTGATGTACCCCTACCCACTGGAGTTCCTAATGCTAACAGCCTTGTCTGTCTGCTCCCTTCCTCTTTGAACGACACTGATTAGCTTTTCACTGGATGTGGTTTTGCAGCCTGGGGCTGGTGCACACCTGCGGTCGGGGTCAAAGTCACGTTCACCCAGCCTGCTGCCTTCACACCACCTGGGCCTCGCCCAGCAATGAGGTCATCCCTGTTTCTGCCCTTCCCGTCACTCTCCCTTCTGTGACAGCATTTGTCCATTTATTTGCCTATTTCTTTCTCTGGTGAACTGCGGTGCCTTAGCATTCCGAGAGGGTATTACACCTAGAAATGTGATATGTATAAATCCCCACAGGTTTGTTTGTAGCGAACTGAACTTCTCATGAACAAAAAACACTGGGACTGGGAAGCATTCCAGGAAACCCGGTGGAACATGGAATGTGTGGAAGATTACTCAGAGAAAACCAGTAGATATTTCCTGTTGAAACGGCATTTTCCCAGAGTCATAGTTCCTGTAGTTCATAATGTCAGATGTCTGAACTTAGCCCTGCAACGTACCGTTAATCCCGGGTTCTTGAAAGAAATGTCAGCTACGCAGAGATCAGCAGGCGGGAGGCATCAGGCCCGCCTGCAGATGTACTTTGCCTGCTTCCTTTTCAGTTTCCTGTAACTTGGCTGTCTTCTTCCACGACCCCATTCATGACAATGTCAACTGTCTGCATGTCCACTGCCCAACCCTGGACAGCTGCATATTGGAGCCTGGAACCGGTGCCATTTTATACAACATAACAGACGGTAACGATCCATGTACTTAGTATGTATTTTGAAGAATGTCGGTAATATTTTAGTAGAGGTGTGTAACCTAGAAATGGGCTGACAGTAGCCATGGATGAATCTCTAGATCATTATTTTCTGGTGAACTCTGTCTGGAAAAGTCTGCGGCTTCCAGGGCAGAAAACTAAGAAGAAATTCCCTTTAGTTTGGCATGATCATCAGCAATGAGTTCACCCTAGATAACAAATCATATGTGATTGAACAGGATTCAAAAATGAACACATTTCATTTATCCCAAGAGCCTTCAGCCAGAGCCAAAGTAGGTATTTCTACTACAGTGGTTAAAGATGCCACTAGGAAATAAAGAAAATGCTGAATGTGAGTTGTGAGGGCATCTGACACTATGTACAAAGATGTTACAAATACGCATGTGAGGGGCGGGGAAATGCACTTCCTGCCACACAGTAGGATATCACTGGTCCCACAATAACCAGGGCATTTTACTTTAGAAAAATACATACTTAAGTGTCCTTTGCCCGTGTATGTAATCTCAAGGTACAAATGAGTAAACATCAAAGAATACATTTTTGCCACCACAGTACAAAGGAGGTAAACGTCTTCATCAACCTGAACTTACTGAACACGGAACGCGCCGGGCTGTGCCCAGCACTGCAGGAGACTGCGGCCATGTCTCTGCCCTCGAGTTCCTTAAAATCTAGTTGATGTGACACGTCTTACAATTAGAGTGAAACTAGTAAGTAAATACAAAAATGTGTGATGCTGCCTCAACCAGCTGCCAAGGCTCAAAAGCAGGAGAGGCTAAAGAAAGCTCGATTATTCAGAGGAGGCTTCATTGAAGAGGCAAGAGGAGCCCGTGTCATACTTGGTAAAGTAAGGAAACTGATGTGGCTACAATACGCGGACATCTGGGGCTGCAGGGGACATACTCGTGAGATAGGTAGGCCAGGTGACAAAAGGACAGAGGAGAGTTTTGGTTTAACTTTGTCAGAAATTTGGAACCAACAAAGGTATTTAATGAGAAAAAGCTATCATTAAAGTGATGTGTCTGGTTATCTTAATCTAGGAGAATTAGATGCATGGTGCAGGTTAAAAAATGCAGTCAGGGCAACGTTACATCTGGACAAGGTGATTGTAATTGCGACAAAGAGGAGGGGTGGTCACCAGCATATTGGGAAGGAGTTGAAAGGCACTTGGTTACTTTTTGGATAAAGAAAAAGGAGAGAACGGAGGAGCCAAAAATCCCTTTGCAGTGCCGAGTCCAGCATGGGTGACAGAAGAATGATGACGCTGCTGAACAAGGCGAGGGGGCAGGCAAAATGATGGCCTTGAGAATGTTCATGAGGATGTGGGATGTCTAAGTGGGAACCTCACCAGAGCACAGGAGAAATGAGATCAGAGCTCAAGGAGGGAGAAACTGGGGATGTGGATTTCAGGGCCATCTGTGTAGTGGTGACAGTTGGTGAAGACAATCTCTTTGGAGGGGGTTAGTATGGGATGAAGAGAAATACAGCAGAAAACCAGGGACTAACAACTGTGGAAACCGCACAACCATTAGGACCCGGGAGAGAACCAGCAAAACAAAGGAAAAACAAGAGGCAGGCAGTCCGAGGTAACATGCCAGAGGAATGTGGGGTCCAGGGAGTCATGGGAGAAGAATTCAGGCAGAGGATGGCCAGCAGTCTCGGGGACAAGAGAGAAGCCAAAGCAGTGAGACACAAGTGATCAGGAAATAAGGAAAGCAGAATTTTGGCAGAGTTTGGGAGAATGGAAACAAGATTCAGAAGGCACAAAACAAAGTCAGAAAGGAAATGCAGGAAGTGGACATTGCTGTGTTGGGAGGAAAAGAGAACAGGGAGAGACTGAAAGGGAAGCAGTGTGATCGCCACCAAGGGCCAGCGGAAAGCTGCTGAGAGCTTTCGAAGTCAGAGAGAAAGGAGTTAGTTGACAAGAAAAGAGAGCACACTGAAGACCCGCAGGCACCGCCTGGAAAGGGATGAGACTTTCGGCTCTGCTAATTTTAAATAGTTCCACATCTCAGCCCCCATTTTAACGTTAACACGTTAAACATATCAGATGGTTACTGTTTCTGCAGGCCCTGCCCTAACCCTGCTGTTGTTGCCCCCAAAGCCCTGGCAGACACAATATTTTCTCTGCCTTGTAGCCAAGTTCCGTCACAACAGAAAGTGCCTTAGAAAGTTAAGATGAATTCTGACGTGGCCGCTGTGTCTCTGAGCCTAGCGGAAGTATACAGCAGTGGAACTTGAAATTAGCTTAGTTCAATAACCATAGTGGCAAAATCCAAGACTTCTCCAAACGGTGCTCGAAGGTCCTCTCTTTTAAATTAAAAATACAATTTAAACAATGCTTTGTCTATCTTTCAGGTATAGATCCAGACTTGCTGGTGTTTGAACAGTCACTGCCCACATATCTAAATACTCGTTCTTCCTCCAGTACGTGGGAGAGGCTAAGGATTCTAAAAGCTATGAATTTAGATGAACAACAAGCCACCGAGATACACCAAATGCTACCGTCAATGGAGGCTCCATCGTCAACCACACGTCAAGATTTGGTCGCAAACACCAACACCACCAGGTATTCAAAGGAGTTAACCACAGACTCCTGGGCAAGATTCATTTCCCTGAACGACGCCACTACCGCAGAGGTAAATGTGGTGTCACCCAGAACTGCGTTCATCGGCAATCCAGATAACAAGACTGTTTCTCCTTTCTTTGTGCCCGTAGACACAAAACTGTCTCATATGCCTATTCCATCCCGACTCAACAGCAGCAAACAACTACTGAACAAAACCAAAGGGTACAGCAGCAGAAACCAGACAGCTGAGAGTGAGGACCCAGCAGCTGACGGGGTGCCCGGGACGTCCGCGACGTGGCTGGTTCCTGTGGCCCTCGGCACCTCTGTCGTCTTTCTTTCCTGTTGTGTGGTCATCCTGGTATCTGGGTGCTGTCGAAGGCGGCAGGGCCAGTACAAACCAGGACAGAGAAAGTCGGGATTCAGGCAGATTAAAAAATGTACCATTCTGAAGGAGAGCTCCTGGGAGTAAAAGATGGGAGCAGTGTAAGCTTTCAAGAGTATCATTTTTAGTTTTCCGTAAGACGAGGGCAGTTTGGTTTAAAAAAAAAAAGCACAGATGCCCATTCATACCAATCTCTAAAAGGCCCATCTTTGATATTTTTATTTGTTTTTTTGAATAGTGCACCCTTTGCCAGAGTTCCAGAATTCTGACCCCTGCAGTGATTTAGCATCATGTGGGTACAGTTCTGAGTGCTGTACATGTATAAATTTGTTGAATCCTTACAACTCTGAGTTAGCTATACTATTACTAACCATGATACTGTTATCACATTTTACAGACAAAGAAACTGAGGAGCAGAGAGGCTTAAGTTTCTACCTAAGCCCACACGGCTAGGATGTAGGGAAGCCAGGATTTAGTAGACAATCTGGTTCAAAAGTCCAGGCTTGAAATCACTGTGGGACTAAAAGCCTCCACTTCCCCAATAAGCATGGAAAAAAGATACAGGAAGACACTGTAACATCATATTTGTCTCCCATCAAGGTCAAATTATTGTCACATATGTTAATGAAATCTTATAGTGGTTTGAGCAAGAAAACATTCTAACTAATTATAGTTACTAACCTATGAGCAAAAGTTTGCTGATTTTTACTTAATTTTCTGTGTTCAATTGATGAATTTTTCTCAATCCTAATCCATCATCTTCTTTTTTTCTAAAATTGGCCTGGCTTTCAGTAATTATGGCACTGAGATCTTTTGAGTTTTCTGTTGACTTCTGCTGAATAAACCTTGGCAGTTTAGTTCACATCCCTTGGTTGTATAAACTGTTTTCCCAGGTGGAAATATTAGCCCTGGGCATTTCAGCTCCGTCCATTTCTCACAACAGACACACCCCTAAATCTTAGACTCTCCAGTATAGAAAATTGTAATTCAAGTCTCGGTGATTTAAAATTTTAGGCCCTTAATCTCATCCCTGAAAATCTTTTTAAATATGAGAACAGACATTAAAAGGCAGCCATTAAAGATAATGAACAGGTGAGAGGAAATTCTGTTACCAAGTTAATAAAACAGTTCTGTTTTATTCTGTTCCCTCAGAATATTAACCACAAATGAAAGCCCGAATTAAAAAATTTAATCAATTTACCTTAATTTGCTATTCATAATAAATGCCATAAATTTCTGTTTCTTAATGCCTTAGGAACAAAACCATGCAATTTGGGGGGCGGTGGGGGGGCGGGTAGATATCAAGATTTAAATGATCCTAAAGTGATACATAGATTATTCAGGAAGCTCTTTAAAAATTATTTGTCCATATGTAAAAGACTACTTACTTTTCTTTCAAGTATATGCAAACTGTTCAAAACTTTCCCAACAAACTAGAGCTGCCAGAAAAGGGGGGGGGTGTTTCTTCCTTGAGGTTTCTCAGAATTTTATTCATTCCCCAAAATTGATATTGTTTTATACTAATGACTGTAATTTGGGAAAAAGCGTATTTACCTTTGTAAGAACACAAACTCATACTCCTCTTCTTCAGCCCCTACCTTCCACCATCACATAAACTGAGTAAACTTCGACTGGAGAGGCAACCTGAACAGTCAGCCAAGGAGCAAAACCGACTGGGCCTAGAAACCACGTCCTTAACTGGAAGCAGAAGGGACCAAAGAGAACTTCTGAAGAGAATTTAAAACTTAAAGAAACAGATCTGAGGGCCTAGTCAACAGCTAAGGATAAGGTTGTAACAGCCGATTAGGAAGTGACCATGACGTGGAAATCTTTCCAGCACTGAAAGTAGCCAGAAATGGGGGGGGGGGGAGTCTATAATAGTCCAGTATTATATTTACCAATTTTGGAAACAAAACATGCCAAGAAAAAACAAGAGCACATACAACTAAGAAAACAGGTTTGTTCTACTTCTTACGTACTATGTAATTCTAGAGGGGGGAGCGAAAGTGACTGCGTAGCAACACAGCAAAGTGTCCCCTAGGATCCTCATTATCAGAATGAAAATGATGTTCATGGTATATACTGGATCAATTAATAACTTAAGGATAAGAATCTAATGACAAATGGTGCTGATTAATTATTGCCAATGTTACAATGACAGCAAATTGTTACCCTTTTCAGGCAGTTTTGTATTCATCTTACAGCTCTAAGATTTTGCCATTAGGTGTCAAGGCCACAGCCTCAGCCTTTAGGTCCGTTGCTCAGTTAGCCAAACTGCGAGGTTGAAAGAGCACAGTCTTCTACAAGGCCACCCTTACTCCTGACACCAACTGTAAATTTGGAGGAATGGGAGGGGGCCCCAAAAGCACTTCCAGGTTCGGTAATTCACTAGAGGAATTCACACTCAGTGAAAGCTGTTACGCTCAGTTGTGATTTACCACAGGGAGAAGATACTGGTTAAAACCAGCCAAGGGAAGAAGCACCCAGGATGAAGTTCTGGCAGGTTCCAAACTCACAGCTCCTGGCGTCCTCTGCCCGTGGGGGCAGGACACAGCACGCTCCCAGTGCCCGTGTGTGACGGGAAGCCCAGCGCACTGTCAGCCGGGGAAGCTTACCTGAGCCTCAGTGTTTACTGAGGCCCCATTAACACAGGTGTGACTGACCAGTTACCAGGGCAGACGAGCTCAGCTGCCAGGTGGACTGATTTACCAGGTGACTCAAAGCCCCCCACCCTAGACATCTGGTTGGCTTTTCTGGCATGCCGAAGACTATCAGGTGTAGCCAGCCCACCCTAAAATCCACTGCGACCAAGTCCTGCCCTAAACAAAGACACTTGATGAGGGACGACAGAGTACCTCCCAGGAGCTGAGGGGAGAGGCCAGGCCTCTCTCTGCGCCAGGTTCTTTACTGCACCTCGTTACTCCGTCCGCTTCCATCTGCATGGCGCTGGTCCTACAGGACCTGGACCCTAGTCTCCCACCTTGTCACATGTTCTCAGATGACCACCTCTCCTGAGCTTCTGCTGTTTCCAGATGTTTCTTTCTTCAATATTGTTTCCGCATCTGAATTTTACTTAACTGAGTCTCTAAGAAATGTAACATTTCAATACTTTCAGTATGCTTTAAACTTGATCAAAAATTCAGTTTTTTCTACTTTGTATTTTATTTGCTATTTCCATCCAATAGAATACAACACACCTCCACTTCCTTTGTGCTCAAGGCCCTACTGTCCTTTTAACCTACAAACTCTAGGCCTTGCTGATACCAAATCATACCTTCAATTTATTAAAAACTCTTTCAGGCAATTGTTTTGAAATTCCTTTCGGCATTTTATGTTCTCTAATTTCGTCAAGCAGAGTAAGTTTTAGGCAAATACCAACCTGAATAATTCCTTTATTTTGATTTTAAGTTAGTCACTTGTCAACTACTTTTAAAGAAATTACTTAACAGACACACTTAAAAATACTGAAGTGACAGCTAAACTGAATGAAATGTTTCTTAGGGCAGTTATCCTTTTGCCATTTACTCCAATTAAATACAAGGTCCTTATACCTCATCTCTGTCCCGAGCTGTGGAAGTTCTAGCTGGAGCATCCAGAGAGGTGAACACTGTACCAGCTGATCTCCATTTCCACTTGTCTGCAAGCTTGGGCTTGGAAAAATGAGCTGCAGAAAATGTGAAGCGGAATGCCAAGCAGAACTGAATCAACATAAAGTGACCCCAAAATAGACGGATGGAACAAACTTTCTGGTTTAGAAGATATGGCCAGTGACCTGTTTCTCATCCGTCAGCATCTGCCAAAAAAACCGGTTAGGGAGATAGTAGTAATGTAAACACCGCATTGAATTTCAGTCAGCGGGCTGGGTTCTGGGCCTAGCTTCCCAAATAACCAAAATCTTTATGCAAAAGCAACCAATGAGTGATAATTTATAGGGAAAGAAACATAGCAGGTGATAAAATAACAAAAAATGTATATGTATGAATACTAAATTTGTTATGGAAGGAACAAAATCCAAACACTTTAGAACTGGAGGAAATCACATCTAATTGGTCTGACCACCCCAGACTTCTGAAAATCATTGAAAACTTTTGGACAATCATTGCCATTGTGCATTAGGATGAAAGGAATAATATTAACTCTGATGTAAAACAATGGTTTCTTTCAAACATTTTCAACTTTATATCAGCTTAGATAATGATTAGATATATGTCATAAAATTAATAAATCAAGGCAATTTTTCTACATAATTCATGTCAAATTTAATAGTTTCTTCACTGATTCTTTGTACTGAGAAAGGGTATTTTCATTGTCCCCCTCATTCTTAAGACTAACAACAGACTTTCTATAATCCTCAACTTCTTTAGTAGCGAGGAGTTCTTCTTTACTTAATTCCAGATTTTTCTCAGCAGCTTTAATCTGGAGAAGTGTTTCCAGGATGTTTTTCTCTGAGGAACTATTTTTCCATACATACTCTTCCATGTCTGCTTCAGTCTTCTTTTTCTCCCATTCTTCCGTTTTCTGAAAGGTAAAAAACGAGTTCTGAATTTGGAGAATTATCATCCAGTCTGGTCAACACCGTACGTGCACCATGACCCAAATCCCGTCCCCAGCAGGGCTGTGCCCCTGCACCAGCAGCTGCGGGCCGCACACTCCAGTCTTCCTTACCACCCGCTAACTCCACCCACACAGGTTACATGTCACCTGCCTTGCAAGTTGCACTTACAAAGCACTGCTGTTTCCCGAAATATACAGAAAACCCCCTCCCTCCTCGCAGCCTTCTAGTCCCTAAACTCTAACACACCAACCCTTTAAATTTCTGAGGTTAAAAACAATGAAAGCTGAAAAGAGACGGTACTTCTCTCTGTAACAAGCCTGTGGGGCTGACAGGAAAGACCAATTATCATAATAATATTTAAAATGTAAAGTACGTGTGATTTTTTAGTCATAATGACTTCGCATCTTCTGGAATTTTGTTAAAAATCTTTATTTTCTGTTCCAATAATGGAAATAACTTTCGTTATTATTCTTTCTTACAAAAACTACTATCAGTTATTTAGGGAACACTGGTGGGGTAATGAAATTCAGATTTATGATTTAAATGAAGATGTAACATTCTGTGAAAAAAATCAAGCAACACAGCTAATATGTAGCATGCCCTGGTTCACAGAAGTGCTTCATACCAGCCACATTCTTTCCAAATTAACACATAACAATATTCTGAGCCGTAGGCTATTACAAAGTGATCCACTAGTCTCAACAACTTTTGAAGGTGGTAAACCCCCCAAATTATAAAGTTTTTTAAAGTATTAAAAGTGAGGTAGATTTGTAAGGCTGTCAGAAATATTTAAATCTGGAAACTGCTCTTGAAACAGACCTCAGCTTGAGCAGACAGAGCTCCAAGGTCCTCAGAACCAAGTGAGCACCTGCCAGGAGACAAGCAGCGTCCACCCGGGCCACCTGCATCCCCGCCCCCACTCCAGGCGCCCACAGAAAGAGAAAAGCACCGAACACTGTGCCTCCGAGGATAAGGAGGGGCCCCACCAATGGCAAGCAGGCCCCTGGGGATGCCACCGACTCAGCGAACCCACTCAGATCCCTGAAGCCCAGGAAAGAAGCTCTCCCACCACAGACCCACGAGGAGAAACCCTCCTTCAGTCCGTCTCACCGCGTACCCTCTCCTTCCAGGGAAACAGGAGGTAGGGTGTTTCCTCAGATCCCAAATTCCTTGGCCAAAGTAGGGTGTCTGTCTTCGCAGCTCCCCTTTGTCTGCTCCACCCCCTATACTGAATTTATGGCCGAGGACAGTGTTCCTACTTGTGTTCTAGAAACATCTTATGAGGGTGAGGATCAACTCTGTGCCTCCT